GCCTCTCCAAAGAGCCTATTTGTGACGCCTCAGTCACGGAAAAATTGCCCACCTGTTTAGCTGGCCCTCCCGTCTGCAGTGATGCCTCAGCTGCGGCTCTTGAAGGAAGCCTCATGTCACTTCTGCCGTGGGTTGATGACAATAAGCTTCGAAGAATGGAGGGCTCCGGCACACTTGTTGCTTTGGCGTGCGTATGATCTTTGGAAAGTTCGGTTGCACGTGCTCGAAGCGATACATCGGCGGACTGCCACTCCACAATGCGCAATGTACACACAGCAGTGCACCCTTCGTCACGCAAAACCAGAGGCGAACGACTGCTGCAGGAGGTTAAGGGGTGATTTGGGAGCACTCGTTGAGATATCCGGATGCCCACCTGGATTACGTCGCTGGAAGAGTCACTTTGTGACGCTTCAGAGCTGGAGAGTGCTTCTACATCAATTCGGCCGTCCGAAGCGGCGGCGGATAACCACCCGTAACGTTTTGCCGCCTTGGAGTTTTCGAGTATGTCCAGCAATTCGTAGGGCATCCCGGTAAACGCAGTCACACCTAGCGCCTCCCCCACAGCTTCTGCATCGCTACTTGACAGCCAATCTTCTGGGGAGAGGCCTGGACTTGTAAAGCTGGATTCGGACAGCACAGATTCCAAAGAGGTCAGCAGTGTTGTGCTAGCTGAATCACTTCCGTCTACTGTGGACAGGTCTGCAGATAATCCTGGAGAGCTTTGATCTGTTTGAGTACGCGGTGGCAGGCTCTGTTGGCCAACAAATTCCTCTGTTAGCGCCGCACGTCCACTTTGCAATTCCAGGCACGTTGAATCATCATCAAAAAGCCAAAAATTTTCGGTCAACTCATCTTCACATCCAGGCAGCATAGAATCAACGAGCAAATCAACGTCCGGATCGAGTGGTGATGGTGGCGGACCCAGTGGAGTCTCCTGCATCGGCACTTCAACCCTAGGCAACTTCATCCTTCTTTCCCCACTGGCGCCATCTATTTCCTTTCTCTTGACACTCATATGCTTTCCAGCTGTCTGTAGCTGTGGTCTCGCTTGCGAAACGTCCGTACTTTGGGTCGCTGCAGTCCTCTCCCGATATGGCGATGTACCTAATTCGAATAGCCCACGTTCGACAGAAAGAAGCACAGTTGGACTAGGCATGAGACGCGATTGAGGATCTTGCGGTGCACCGGGAATTTCTGTCTCTGTGACACACGAGTCTGATTCGTCACTCCCTTCGTCATTTTCGCTGGCCGCGAGTTTGCGTGCAAATGAAATTGCAAGTATTCTTCTTCGAATGAACATACTGCACAGGTAAGCAAGGAATATGATAGCAGAGACCGCAGCAAATACTGCGAGCAGCGGTAGTGGCCTCTGGGATCGCGTCGCTGTGCAGGACCTGTAACCCGTGCGGGGGACCGCATTTTCGGAATCTCCGGTGCGGTTTCCCGATGGTAAGTCTAAATGCCGGTGGGAAAGGTTCTGATGCCGTGCGAAGGGCTTCTCTTTCAGCATCAACCTAACCGCCATGGAGTCTTTCGTAGAGCTATGCAAGAATATTTGTGAGATGGGCCACACCTGCGCTCACAGTGTAGAAGGCGATACCAGAGCACATGAAACTAGAGGTCGGAAGCGAAATTCCGAGTGCGCAACAGCACCAATTCCAGGAGAATACCACTCCCTTCTTCTCCGTCTGGATACTAGTCACTGGGCTTGCCCGCCCAGCGACTGGGTGGGCTTCGAGACCTCAAATCCCAACGCTGCCTGCCCCTGGGCGGCGCCGTCATATCACAGACGCCGATTCCCGCAAAGACACGTGAAGTGAATCACTAAGACTGAACTGAATATGAGAAAGCCCACAAGTACACTTGAATCCACTCACTAACACTGAAATTATCTGGGGAAAGCTAAAGAGCACAGAGCACGTCAGTGCAGCTAATCGATGCTGGGGGAACGTAGAGTCGGGCTGCCTGCGTGACGGAAACATCATAGACTCCCAAGGTAACAAAGCGCAACAGAGAGCATGCAAAACAGAGTACAAAATATCGGAGAATGCATATCGATTCTTTAGTTTCATAAAGCTCAGCTTTTCGAGCGAAATCGGCGTGGGTTGCTGCTGGTTTCTGTAGATCCACTGGCAGCGCCATCTTGCCAGATGGATTAGCAGGAACATTATGCCTACCACTTTATATATCCTCGAGGAATGGGCTAACTGAAAATTTTCACTGACAGCTTGATAGATATTTTAAACGGATCCAGAGATAAGAAATGGCATCTTGCTCCGTGCCATGCTCAGCGAGTCGAACCCAAGCAACTCGGGATGGTCTGCTGACGCTGGAACGAGTGTTTGTACTTGCTCGCATGGCTGGCTGCTGATGGCCATGTAAATAATTAACAATTCCCTATAGTGTTACTTCATGAATCAAGTTGCTGCTTGGTTGTAGTTGGTCGTGTGGTTTGCCTTGCAGCAGGAACACCCGTGGCGGGAGAGCTGCAGTGTAGCGAAGGTCCTCGATTCTAGCGGAGGACCGTTCTGGGGTGCATTAAGGTCTAAGTACTTAAGGAAATGGGTCCCTCCAAGCAGGTAATGACCTGCTTTCCAGTCTCCAGGCGCACTGGGTGTAGCGGCGCAAGGGCTGCTACGGGGAGGAGGTGGCACAGCATCAGCTGAAGCCCTCCGGACTGCAACTCCCGCCGAAAGACATCCCGCATGCGGGCTTCCCCAACTCTCTGGTGCATGCACTAAAGCAGCAGACAACGTTTAAACACATCCATGGCCCTCAACAGACAACCTGCACGTAATTAGAAACGCATGCACCGACTTCAGACAGAGCATGCTGGATGCTACATGACGCGCTGCAAGTCGTAACTAGCCGTCTCCTTCCCGCAGCACTCCCATGAATTTCTCCTGCTGTGCCCAGGAAGCGTGGATACTGGAGGAGAGCGAGCACATCTGGCCTACAGTTGCGCACGAGATGTCTGTTGGCCTCTTCACCAGGGCAGCTGGAACTCCGAGCAAAGCTGGGGAAAGGCAGCTGCAAAGAAAGCATCTCTCCCTCCCCTAAAGCCTTATCCGCAGCTGTATTCGCATGACCAAACTCCACTTCACTGTGTGTGGCTTATCGACTGCTATGCTGGCTACTCGCTCGCTGCTCTACTCGTCTTGATGGAGTGGCGCCACTCTTCGACGTGTTTTCTGGAGCTGTCCCAGCTCTCGGAATGAAACTGCGTTGTGCGGGGTGTGCAAAATATGGCCTATTTTTAGGCCGACCACAATGTTCAGGTGAGCCATTTCACCATTTATGTAGCAGTCCGGCGCAAAGCCAAGAGAGCTTGCGATTTCGAAGTTCCTGAACTCAACTTTCGGAACGCGCATTTCTTCGCTTGCCATAAAGCATTGGCCTATGCAAAAAAAAGCTTGCATGTTTTTCTTGGCATCTACCGCACAGTGCAGCCTACCGAAGAGAAGAAAAGTATTCCCCAGGTGCTCCAAGGCATGCATTGCTTGGCTACCTCAGTAATATCTCGGCATGCGTTCCCTGGCTGCGCATCAGAGGACGCACTGTGCTATTCGCCACAAGCACGTCAAGGTACTTCTTTGCAAGAGGCGGTATTTTCACTAGTTATGTAGACGCCGAAAACGACAAGGCTGCGTTGTTGAGCATAAGCCGAAAAATGGCTGCAAGTGGCTGATTAAATTGAAAATTAAAAGTCTTTCTGTTGGGCCCTTGACGAGTTCATGATTGTGGTGGACCGGATGAGTCAAGAACACGCAAATGGGAACATCCACAATCGTCTTCTCTACCATCTTTCCTAGCCAATTTTAACAAGTGAAGGCGTCCTCAGCTGGATGCGACACTAGCGCAGGCGCCATGTGAAGTCCGCATACTGCAGCAACACTGAATTAGAGCATTTAGAATATCGCTCTATAGCTACTTCAGGAAGTTATTTTACTAATCAATATTCTCTTATTTAAATAAATCCTCTACTGCATTTCGAAACATTCTTGAATGCATTACAAATCTACGAATA